CCAACCCCACGGACAACCCAACTCCACCACTGAAACCCACCCCCAACTCCACCACCGAAACCCATATACCACCCCTACCACTGAAATCCATCACCACAATCGCCGAAACCCACTCGTCCTTTGTCATTTTCAGGGAGTCCTTTGAGAATGTTCTTCAGATTTGTTATCCCTTTTTTGCATAAAATCCCATCCTTGTTCCAAGGCGATCGTCTTCCGCTCGTTCATTGTCATTTTGACAGACAATCAATTCAATTCACCACGCACAACAAGCACTCCTTCCAGTAATGCCAAACACAAAACCCTAAAATCATATAATCGCCATAAATAAGCTAAAACCCTCATAATCAGTATAATAATCGAATCCAAATAAGCGCAAACCCTAACTGTAGGTTCCACTTTCATCTTTCAAGCTTCAATAATAAAATAATGCAAAAGAAAAGAAATATTTAGTTAGAACTCGTAATCGATCACCTTCACAGATTTATATCAACAACAATGAGAACCTGAATCAACGAATTTGCTAAGCAAATGATCCAGAAATTCTATCTAAAATAAAGAAGAATGAAAAACATGAAAACTAATCGAACAAGAGAGTGAGTCGAGACAGATCAGAGACCCCAAAAATTGGAGTGATTGGCGATGGCGATGGCTTCGTCCTCGTTGGCATCGAGAGAGAGAGAGAGATACAACAGACAGACACAGAGGGTGAAACAATGCTGTTTTTTTTGTTTTGAATGTTTTTAAAAATATTTTTTTGGATATTTTCATATTTTAGCTTTGTTTTAAAAAAGAATGTGTTAACAAAAAAAACCACATTCACTAAACATATTTTTATTTTTTTTTAGCCATAAAATAAAATAAAATAAAAAACAAAAACATGTGATTACCAAATGCCACCTAAATTACTAAAGAACCATCAAGATAAATATTGGTATTTATATCCAATCTAAGTACAGTTCAACTAGATTATTTAAGCCCACAAAAAAAATGTGAGTTTATTTAAGAGGCTATATATGATATTAAATATACTATTTATCTGAGTCGATACATCTAAACTTGGTTATAAGAGAAATAAAGTGGAACCAACATTATTTTTTCCAACTGTAATATCTAAAACAAACACAACCTTAGGATTCAATTTTAGAATTTGAGCATCTATCATGTTTCAAAATGAGATTTGACGAATTGAATTCAGAGTAAAAATTAAAAATTTGAGCATCTCTCATATTTCAAAATGAGATTTGACAAGCCAGATTTTGCTGGACCAGGTTAAATAAATCAATTAAGCTCAAGTCAACTAAAATGTAGGTTAAGTTCAATTCGTAAATCCGAGCCAACCCAAGATTGCAAGAGTCCAAGAAAAATTAGAACATGTGAGGAGTAATTATCGAGATATTTATTCTCGAAGATTAATGCAACCTTTTATGACACTTATTTTTTATAACGACCCAGAAAATTAATACATTTTTCTTCGTGTCATCACTTTAACTAAAATTCTACGTCTATAAATTATATATTCTCTCTATACGAGAAGACACATTAAACTCTATCTGTATATCTCTTTATAGATACATAATTTTTTGCCCTTCTAACTATTATACCTCTCTCGAAGCTAACCATTGTTGTCTCTCGTTTACCTTACTTCATCAATCCCTTAAAATAGAGCGAATCACTTGAACTGAACTACAATACATCTGTTGACTCAATATTTATATTACTACTATTTATTATTTTATTTATTATTCATTAATTATACCTTATCACACTTCTCTATTGATCTTCAACGTACATCAAGATTAACCCACAAAAATGTTAAAAACTTCTCTAATCCTCAGTACTGTGATGAGGTCTATGAGGATTTGATTAGGGGTCGCTAGACTCGGCTGAAACTGTCTGATTCGTCTCCCCATTTCTTTTCTGAATTGTGATTGAAAAAGTCACCCAAATCTCTCTCCTCCTCCCTCTAACTTCACTAACCACCACCACCACCACTTTTCTTATTGAGTTCTTCATCATCAACAGGCTTGTGGCTGCAAACAGGGCAAGACATGTGCATGGATAAATTTGAAGAATTTCATCATGACCCCATCTGCCGGTAAACGCCAAATCTTATTCATTGTTCCAAATTTCCCAACAGAAATATCCTCTTTACTTCTGTATCTAGTACCAATGTATCAGAATTGTAGGTTGTTAAGGAAAAAAATGTCGGTTAGGAGCTGCACGTATGTTGTTTGATTAAATTGCTCAATGAAAGCATGTTTCTTTTTCCAGAACTTGCTTCGCGTTTTAGCTTGAGCACTAGTCATTTTGAGGTGGGTAAGGGTCAATTGCAACATCTGCATCCAATTCTGGGCAAGTTATCGTTTTGCAACTGAATGTATTATGGCTCTTGGGANTGTTGTTTGATTAAATTGCTCAATGAAAGCATGTTTCTTTTTCCAGAACTTGCTTCGCGTTTTAGCTTGAGCACTAGTCATTTTGAGGTGGGTAAGGGTCAATTGCAACATCTACATCCAATTCTGGGCAAGTTATCGTTTTGCAACTGAATGTATTATGGCTCTTGGGACTTTCACTGCTCCACAATTGAAGACTTGTGGTCTCTTTGGGACTCGGTTGTATCCCTCTAATTTTCTTCCCGTGCAGAGTAGAAGTAAGTTCAATAATTAGTACACCCTTTTTCTCTTTGCTGATTCTTTTGTGATTACCATGTCTTTTACGTATCTCAAAGAATGTGTTAGTGGAGGCACAAGTGGAGTAACTTGTATTTGTCTTGAAACATCAGCTAACTGCAGCTCTGTTACTTTCCTTTAGGTTTCCTTATGAAGCCATTGGTGATTGAAGCAAGGGCAAGAGCAAATACCCGAAAAGAAAGTGCGAAAATCCGAAACAGAAGACTACAGAAGAAGGTAGTGTTTATCTCTTTTTCTGGACAGTTTAACATTCAGGAATAATCAAGGCTGATGACTGGATCCAAGGGAGACTTGGTGGGAGGGCAGGACTGGTCCATCCCTTAGGTTTAGTTTCTCCCCATTACAAGAAGATGTACTTTGCATTGGCCTTACATGCTTTCTTCTTCCTTAGGATAATTTAGGTTGATAACATGCCATGCAACAAGTCTATGAATTCAAGTTTCAAATGGATAATATTAATATATACCAATTAGGAGTGGCAAATGGACGTGTTTGGTGAGTTGTGGATGGGTTGGGCAACAGGTGGCGGTGATGAGAGTGGGAGNGATGTACTTTGCATTGGCCTTACATGCTTTCTTCTTCCTTAGGATAATTTAGGTTGATAAAATGCCATGCAACAAGTCTATGAATTCAAATTTCAAATGGATAATATTAATATATACCAATTAGGAGTGGCAAATGGACGTGTTTGGTGGGTTGTGGATGGGTTGGGCAACAGGTGGCGGTGATGAGAGTGGGAGTGGAGGTTGTGGTGGTGTTTGTGATGGTTAGGTGGTGGTGGTTCAAGATAATTGCTTACATATGTTGGACTTGTTGGAAGCCCAATCCAATCTGCATTACCTGCTTAATAACTTGGATTGATTATCCAAATACATTTATGACACAAAAATAAATCAGTCGCACAACCCNTGAGTTGTGGATGGGTTGGGCAACAGGTGGCGGTGATGAGAGTGGGAGTGGAGGTTGTGGTGGTGTTTGTGATGGTTAGGTGGTGGTGGTTCAAGATAATTGCTTACATATGTTGGACTTGTTGGAAGCCCAATCCAATCTGCATTACCCGCTTAATAACTTGGATTGATTATCCAAATACATTTATGACACAAAAATAAATCAGTCGCACAACCCACTAATTTGCAGGTGGGTTTGGTGCGTTGCTGATTTGAATTGCCACCCATAATTACCTACTAATTGCACTGGTATCGGAGTGTCTGTTAGTGGGCATTTTTTTTGCTGGTAGCATATCTTCACTTACCATACATCGAAAGCTGAATTCCTTATTCTCTTGACCAGTTTAATGGCACAGCTACAAAGCCAAGGCTTTCATTATTCTGTTCCGATAAGCAATTGTATGCTATGCTGGTAGATGATCAGAAGAAGAACTGTTTATTCTATTGCAGCACTCTACAGAGATCAATTCGCCAGGATCCTCCTTGTACCACAATTGTAAGTCCACTACTTCACCATAGATAGTGCGTAACATGAAATCAAAAACATGCTCAACTCAAATCAACTCANCTACAAAGCCAAGGCTTTCATTATTCTGTTCCGATAAGCAATTGTATGCTATGCTGGTAGATGATCAGAAGAAGAACTGTTTATTCTATTGCAGCACTCTACAGAGATCAATTCGCCAGGATCCTCCTTGTACCACAATTGTAAGTCCGCTACTTCACCATAGATAGTGCGTAACATGAAATCAAAAACATGCTCAACTCAAATCAACTCAAAAACTGCTTTATCCTAACTCCTTAAGACCGGTTACATAAATCTTGTTCCTTCATTGTACCCTAGCCAAATTACTTGTCCTCGATAAGTATTTAGTTATAAACATGTACATAACATAAATGGGTTTTTTCCATTGTCAAAATATGTATGGTACTGTCTATGGTTGGTTACCTTTACCCTCTCTTTTTATGCCTGTTTTTCTAAAGTTATGACATTGCACGACCGGCTAAATTGTTTTTTTATTTTTTATTTGTTTAAACATTTGATAATCCCAGGAAGCAGCTGAACGTGTTGGTGAAGAGCTTGTCAAGACATGTATTGATCTCAATATAAATGAAATATCGTCTTATGATCGCAATGGTTTTGCTCGAGGAGAAAAGATGGAAGCGTTTGAGACTGCATTATCTCGTCATGGGTTCTTGTCAAGATAGATCTGTTGCGGTTTCTTAGATTGTTTTATAGATTCAACTCTACTCGACAAAACTTTTTCTTACTATTTTTAGGATCTGGTAAACGATTATTATCTCGCCATTGATTGTTTCATAAATGGTTGGAAATATAGCAGTGTATGGGTTGGGGTTGCATTGTTTATGGAATCTGAAGATTTGTGATCAAACCAATAAAATGTTAGCTTCTCTTGTAATGATTATCAAAGATGTATCCTCTTTACCAAGTTTGGTAAGCAGTCTAGCACACAGACATGTTGCTCATGTTCCCCAACAGTCAATATGGCAATGCTGTGGATCTAAATTCGTTTTAAGGTTTAATTGATGCATGTANTCAACTCTACTCGACAAAACTTTTTCTTACTATTTTTAGGATCTGGTAAACGATTATTATCTCGCCATTGATTGTTTCATAAATGGTTGGAAATATAGCAGTGTATGGGTTGGGGTTGCATTGTTTATGGAATCTGAAGATTTGTGATCAAACCAATAAAATGTTAGCTTCTCTTGTAATGATTATCAAAGATGTATCCTCTTTACCAAGTTTGGTAAGCAGTCTAGCACACAGACATGTTGCTCATGTTCCCCAACCGTCAATATGGCAATGCTGTGGATCTAAATTCGTTTTAAGGTTTAATTGATGCATGCAATTTGCGGATGGTCGCGTGCATATTGCAATGCTATCATGAAACCATGGTTACAACGATTTTCAGTCATAATAAATCAAAAAAAACAAAAAAAAGCCGAAATCAATAATTAAAGTAGAAAATTGTTAAGAAGAATGTGACCATCGGTGTAGCGAGGCAATGATATCAAATGTTTCAGTCCACTATACAATGCATTCTCTCTCTCTCTCTCTCTCTATGTGCCGCTGGGAGAAACAGGAACATAGAAAATTCAAGTGGACTACTCGTATGCATATCACTACACTAAGCACCTACTTGTACAACATGTAAACAACCAACTTCACTCCCCAACCTCCATGTCTCTCTCTCTCTCTCTATCACACACACACACACACACACATACCATTCTTCTATCCTCCGTTTGATCTTTTCTGCCTGTGAGTTGTCTCTGTCAAAGGTTAGAATTATCTCCCCAAGATTCGTACAACTGCAATGACCGTATGTGTTAATCGCCACAGCATGTAGCACGATGTTCTTCTTGAAGCTTCTGCCATAGACAAAGCATCTCTTTGGGAGCTTGGTAGTGGGCAACAACATAGCCATTTTTGCACCCCTCATGAAAGATCCTCTCTTCTTTCTCATACCTAACTACTAAACCTTTCTTCTTCATGTCTGCAATCCAGATGCCCATGGCAACATCTTCTAGCTTAAACATCTGCTGACCAATTAATTAATGCTTTCAGATCTGAACCCTCAATACTAAGACCTTTTGGCCAACGAGAAGTGTAGAACATGATGAACGAATATGGAGAGGACGTTGATATATGTACAGATATTCTTTATACCTTTAGGCGGCCATTATTGAGTTGCTTGTAGATTGCCTTTGCTATGTCACTTGACACAACATAACCCGGACCATGTGCCCAAGGAGGGTAAGTGTCTTCAGGCCATTCCTTAAATAAACAAGGTAATGGAGGAGTGGGATCAAATAGATGAAAAGCATAAAAGAAATGGGATATGCCATATCACAGAGGAAAAGGAAGCATGTATTACAAAATAACTTAGCAACCCCCCACTCCATGAAAGGAAAAGGAGGAAAAATAAACAGCTGTCAGTCCAGTTTAGATCCTAATCACATACTTTATCCTGTTTTCAACGAACAAGTCAGTACCAGCAAAAAGTGGGTTTGGCAAGTTTCCGGGGATTTTTTTTCTTCATTTTTGTGGAGGTGGGACGAGGTAGAGACATGGAGCGNTAGAAAAACATGACATACTAAACTTTGAGGACCTCATGGCACCCCATTTTGTAATTTTGACTCTTATCTTTGCTTGGATATCTTAAGGCCTTGCTGAGGTTAATCTCTTGCTCGTTTCTCTTTTGATATCAAATAATTTCATGAGAACTTTTTAAGGCTGAAGCAATGGAGCCAGGGAACAGTTCTTTGTGCAGTAGACTTTACTGTTTTATAATTAATGAAATACATGATCTTAGTTATATGAACTGGTAATGCTGGTTTAATATGATTTGGTCCTTGTTATTTGGTGTCTGATAATATGCTTCTGTCTAATTCTACCAGGTTATTTTTGAAGGTGTTTATGCTTTGCACCCTTATATCAGGAAATCTTTGGACTTGTGGATTGCTGTTGTAAGGATGACTTTGACTATCTGATGAGGCTTTTGCTTTAAATTGATATTGATTAAGTAGCATATTGTTTGAGGTCAATAAAACATGATGAGGAGAAGTACTTGTTTGATCGGAAAACAGGTTGGAGGTGTTCATTCACATCTGATTTCTCGAGTTCAAAGGAACAAAAGTAGAGTAGGGTGCTTTATGTCCCAAAATGAAATTATGACGACAGTATTCCCAATGTTCCAGCAGCACATTGAACCACATCTTGTTCATGCACATGTGAGTTGATTGAAAGTCATTCTATAATTGTTTCATGGTTGAAGTTAAAAGGAAATATTCCAATAGTTGCTGTGGCTTTAGGATTTTGGTTTTTGACAAAATTCAATGTTCCTTTTACAACAGATCCTAACTTTTACTGAAATTTGTATAGTTGTTTAGGTAATCTATTATGCTTAAGGTTGGATAACCTCATATTGTGGACACAGTATAGAGCCTTGATTAGTTGATTATAATGGAACTACTGCAGGCTATGGTCCATTTTTTAAATTATTTGTCTCATATGTTCCATTGATTTTTTGTTCAATCTTAGCATCAAATAAAAATAGATGTTAACCTTAGTATCCATCAGCATGTTACATATATTACCATGTTACTGTTTATCCACTTAAAGTGCTTGTAACTATCAAGAAGTATCTTTGATCGTGCAAAGTTTTTCTTTATCTTATTGCAGCTGAAAATTCGAAATGACTTTGATCCTGTGCTTTCTCCTGAGAGCTCATTGTTTATGCTCAAAAGTAATAAGCAAGTAAGTTCATTTTGTAGTGATTCTGCCCCGAACTTAAGTAAGACGGTTTCTATGACATACTTCTCTGAATAACAGGTGGCTTATCAAGATATTTTAAAAATCCTTGACCCTGCAAAGATCTGCAGTTCTGTTCAGAATTTTATTGACATTTATTTAAGGCTACCTGGAATACCTGCTAATGGCCAGTTAACGGAAAGTGACTGCATAAGAGTCAGAATTTGCGAAGGAAGATTTGCGTTGCTCATACGGGAGGTTCGTAGTTTAATTTTGTAGGAAATTTGTTTCTTTGTTAAATATGCATTGCGCTTTCCTTCGTTTTGTAAATTACTGTACTATATACTCACTGAATTTCAAATTATTTTTGTTAGCCTATAAGAGAAGGGAATTTTATCAACCAACCAAAAGTGGATTTTGACATCAGCATTAATACAGTTGCTGGGCTTCTTAACCTTGGGTATGTCACATATTTGTTTTTCGAGGTTGATTTTAATTGGTTTTTTTCGCAATACCATTATGTCCATACTTAATTCTTATGTTTCAAAGCTGAAATGCGTTTGTATGTGCACTTTCTCTTCATAAATTAGATTTGACAAGTATTTTTTTTATGCACTACAGATGCAATATTGTCAACATCTTGCTTAGAGGCACTCAGAAAATAATGTTTCATCATTTCAGAATAGAAGAAAGAAGTCTGCGCCGGGTGGCAATGTTATCCTGGCATAATGCTTACTCACTAAACCATATATATGCCCGATATAGTACGTCCAGTAGCATGCAAATGTATAGCCTTCCTCTGAATTGTGGGGAGTTGCTAGAGTCTGACAATAAATCCTTGTGTCCAGAAATACCATACGTTTCCACCGAGTGTAGAGACTGAAGCTATTTGTTGCTGTTATTATAATCTTTGTTGTAGCTCAATGCAAATGCTGAGTGAAGAATATACATTTGTTAGGCTTAAGGTATCAGGCATAGTTTCATGGTCAAAGGTGAATAGGGATAAAAGCTTGATAGTTGTCATTTACTCTAATGCAGATAAGATTGTTAGATTGACTGATTGTTTGGTATGTTTTGTGGGGGAGTGACCTTTGAAGTATTTAGGTGTTCCTTTGGGGGGTAGTATCTTTGACTTTTTGGGACCCTTGCAAAGGTGGGAGAAATGTTGGAGATGGTGAAGAGCTTTTATTTCTAAAAGGGGAAGGTTAATTTTAGTGTAATCTATTCCGTTTAGTTCTAATTATTATTTATCTCTCTTTAGGATATCAGGAAATGTAGCAATAAGGGTTGTGAAGAATGACAAGGGATTTTCTTTGCGGTGGGGAGGGAAAGACAGATCACATGATTAGTTGGGAGGTGGTATCTAAACCCAATTATAGAGGCAGATTTTTAAAAACTTTAAGGGAAGAAATGTTGATTTAGTCGGGAAATGACTTAAGAGATTCCCTTGAGAACTTCTTTTACTATGGCATTTTGTTATCAAGAGCAAGTATAGATTGAAAGGAAATGAGTGCGATACTAGTAATTGGGTGGGGTGTCTTTGTTATCATGTATGTTTCCTCATCTATATCATGTATATTCTGCTGATGATGTATATATTGCCTCTATATGATTTGGTCTAGTTCACATTCACCCTCGGGATTTTGGCTAGCAAACTAGGTGATTGAGAAACTTTGGACGGGATGTCACTTCTTTTGTATTCTTTTTGAAATCAATTTGACTCTGGGGGTGATGGGGATTGTGTAGGAATTGGATAGATATTATAGATTAATTATTATAGTTATTTAGATACTTTTAATATTTAGCTTTTAAGTAATTTCTTTTAACTTTTAAGGGTTTAGTTGTCATTTTGATTATTTATTTATTTTAGGGTTTGTGATCTCCTTATTTATATAGGATTTGTGAATTCCTTATATATATAGGGGATACATATTTGCTGAGAGACTAGACTTTGATTATTGATTATTGATATTGAATCTCATCTCCTTCTTCTTCTTTTCTCATCCCTTTCTTCTTCCCTTCTCATCCCTAATTCTTCCCTAATACGATCTACATCACTAACTTAGTACTTAGAGAAAGGGGAAGAAGCATCACCAAAACAAAAATTGACTGGGTCATAACAAAGGAATTCACATGCAAAACTCACCAAACCAACAAAAAAGCGCACTGCAACTTGTCTCGACCGCACAGCAGCATATTGCATCCATGTTCTTCGAACAGCCATTCTGCGTTTAAAATTGTTTGCAGTAGAGATAATGCCAATGAAGAGACTCAGGTGCCTTTGAGGAAGGAGTGGAGCTGACTTAAGACCTTCTAAGTCGGTTATATGCTCTAAATCCTCTGGCGTTGGTAATCCACTGGCTACGACAGAAATTAATTTGATATCTCCTGAAATCCTTACTTCACTAACAAGCCATGGCTCCAAAGTCTGAACAGATAAGCAACAAAAACTGATATGTAATTCAAAAAAATTGATAATTGCTGCTACAATTCCAAATTAAATCAAATAAAAGAAAATGAGAGAAATTACTCCACGTAAAGCAAAGGATGTGATGTGCTTTCCATCAACAGTTGACTGGATTCCCTCTGATCCCATTCTTAGTGTCACGACAGACAGGTAACCTTGATTAAATGGGAAATATCTTTTTGGTTTAGATCCATCCTTAACCATAGGAAATTTTGTAGATCTATTTGAATGTCCGCTAGCAGTGAAAACCTGGTCGTTAATTTTACCCACCATCTCATTGCACTGGTCCAAATCATCCACTGGAACATAAAACTAATTATACTTATATAAGGCAAAAAGTAGATGTAGTAACGTAACATGGACTCCACCGAAACAATGAACAAAAAAAAGAAGAGAAGAGGTTGGAAAATGTATGACAAGGATCAAATCCACTGGAATCCAAGCCGAAGTAGCAGAAATATGTGAAGCAGGCCAGCAGTCAGATGCCCTTGTAAAATAAGATGAATTAGTCGACATCATGACAACACAACTTGAAGCAGCAAACAAGTATGCAATCATCTGATCATGACTGTTGGAGTTATGGTTTAGTTTTTTAAGTTTTTTTCCCTTTTTCCTTACGATGACTTTTATATCTTACCCACACCAGAGGGGTGTTTTGGCTGCACTCAATTTGTGTATCCCCTTGACTCTCAAATGATTCTAGTTGGTATCAGAGTCAAACCCTAGCCTTTAGCGTACCCTTAGCCTTCCCTCACCCTAAACCAAATCCCAACCCTAACCCTACCCACCACCCCTAACCCTAGTCATCACTGCCCAACCACCTTGCCAGCACCCAAGGCAGCCAGCACCATTGCCCAAGCAGCTAGTGCCAAGGCCACCATCACCCTCAGGCCACTCTTCGCGCTGCTGCCTCCTCTTTTTCCTAGGGTTGAAGTATCTAGGGACTTTTAAGAGGGGTTGGATCCCCTCCTCCGTTGATCTACTTTTGATGTCGTAGATCACCTACATATATTTTTCCTAGATTTCTTGGCACTGTGACCTATTATTTGGGAACTTTTTAGACCTTCTTTATTTGTCGCTATTGTTTGACTAGAGATATATTGTTCTCCTTTTCCTTTTCCTCTATATATCTTACAGTTGTTTCTGTCATGATTGTCATATTATTTTTGTTGCTATGGACACTAGTGATGGACTTGAGACCCTACCATTAGTACTTCTACTCGAGATGTACTGCCCACTTCTGTAGGGATTATCCCTCTCACTTTTATATTTAACTAGTATACAGTACTTGCAGGCATAGTTACATTATCGGCGATGCCGTGTATGATCTCTCAGAAGATTACGGTATAATTATTAAATGACTGTAACTTTGTTGATTAGACACACTCTTTTCACCTTTTTTTAGGGCATGTTGGGAAGCTGACTCTAGATATTCTGCTTGGATCTCTAAAAATTGTGCAATTCTTGAATGTCGTGTTAGCACTAATGTGCTTGTTATTAGCACTAGTGAGATTGCAGGTATTGAGTTTTTTGAGTCAGTTGCTTTACCTGATGAGACTTTGTCAGTGAAGCTAATGGGGTTACTGATTTCTTAGCTTCACTGGCTGTCAAGACAAGGAGCTTCAATGATTTTACATTGACTGGGCTGCCAGTAGAATGGAAGGTTCTGCTGCTGCATGATCAAATTGGGTTGCCAGTTGCGAGGAAGATGAAGGCTTTTGTGTGTCGAAGCTTTCTTTTCCAATAGCTCTTGGTTTTGACTTTGTAGAAAATTTTGAATTCTTGAATTTTGTTTTGAAGGATTAAAGCCATTACGAGCTTTAACCTTTTTGATTCTTGTAATTTTTTTGATTTGATGATATAAAATCAACTTTCTTTTAAAAAAAAATAGGGAGAATGGGGATTTGTTATTTAAAAAAGATGAGACTGTGTCAGTGAAGGATAATGATTTAGGGCGCCGTTATCCNTGATATAAAATCAACTTTCTTTTAAAAAAAAATAGGGAGAATGGGGATTTGTTATTAAAAAAAGATGAGACTGTGTCAGTGAAGGATAATGATTTAGGGCGCCGTTATGCACAACGTGACCACCGGCCAGTTGTTCATTATGGTTGGGCCGCTAGGGTTTTACATCCGATCTCTTGTTATGTTTCTTATAGTGATCTGTCTCCTACATTTCGAACTTATAGTATGGCCTTATTAGATATGCCGGTTTCTCGCTTTATTTCAGAGGCTATGTAGGAGTTTCAGTGGGTTCTTGCTATGCAGACAGAGATGGATACTCTTCAGCGTAATCATACATGGGATCCTGGTTATTTACCTTCAAAGGTGAAGCCTATTGGATGTTACTGGATTTACACTCTGAAGTTTCTTATGGATAGTATTATTGATCGTCACAAAGCTAGGCTTGTGGCGAAGGGCTTTACTCANGGTTCTTGCTATGCAGACAGAGATGGATACTCTTCAGCGTAATCATACATGGGATCTTGGTTATTTACCTTCAAAGGTGAAACCTATTGGATGTTACTGGATTTACACTCTGAAGTTTCTTACGGATAGTATTATTGATCGTCACAAAGCTAGGCTTGTGGCGAAGGGCTTTACTCAGGTTTCGGATCGTGATTTTGGAGTTACCTTTGCCCTTATGACAAAGTTGACTACCATTCAATTAATTATTTCTCTGCCTCGTGCTGTTGGTCTCTTCATCAATTGAATGTGAAGAATGTGTTTCTTCACGGTAGTCCGGACGAGACTATTTATATGGATGCATCACCGAACTTTCATGGTGAGAGGAAGTATGCTGCGAAGGTGTGTCAATTGCNCAATTAATTATTTCTCTGCCTCGTGCTGTTGGTCTCTTCATCAATTGAATGTGAAGAATGTGTTTCTTCACGGTAGTCTGGACGAGACTATTTATATGGATGCATCACCGAACTTTCATGGTGAGAGGAAGTATGCTGGGAAGGTGTGTCAATTACNGTCTCTTCATCAATTGAATGTGAAGAATGTGTTTCTTCACGGTAGTCCGGACGAGACTATTTATATGGATGCATCACCGAACTTTCATGGTGAGAGGAAGTATGCTGCGAAGGTGTGTCAATTGCATACCTCTTTATGGACAAAAATAGTCAGCACAAGCTTAGTTCTCTCGGTTTAGTGGTGTAGTTGTACGTTTAGGGTTCACCAGATGTTATTCAGATCATACATGCTTCATTCAACGAAATACTTCTAAGCAGTGTGTCATTCTCTTGATATATGTGGATGATATTATTATTACTGGAAATGACGTTTCTGGGACTATATAAGTCAAGGTTAACCATGGCAAGACTTTCGATGTGAAGGATCTTGGATTTCTGTGGTACTTTCTTGAAATTGAGGTTGCCCGTAGTAGCAAGGATATTGTTCTCTCTTAGAAGAAGTACGTTCTAGATCTTTTCTCGAATACTAAGATGTTGGGGTACAAACCTATATCGTCACTCATGATTCCAAACCTGAAGCTCACTGCTGACGGTGAGGAGTTGAGAGATCTAACTGTCTATCAGAAGTTAGTAGGTAGACTTATCTATCTAACCAACACAAGGCCAGACATTTCATTTACTGTCAGTCGAGTTAGCCAGTTCATACACAAGTAGTGTCAATCTTATTTGGATGCAGTTTATCATATTCTTGAATACCTCAAGTCTTGTCCTAGACTTTGGTTATTCTATGCATCAGGGTCTCAGATCGATTCTCTAGCCTATTATTCAGATTCAGATTATGAGAGAGCTTGTGACAATTGATCTATTATGGGCTTCTATGCTTTTCGAGGGACTCATCTTTTCTATTGGAAAAGCAAGAAGCAGACNTCTAGCCTATTATTCAGATTCAGATTATGAGAGAGCTTGTGACAATTGATCTATTACGGGCTTCTATGCTTTTCGAGGGACTCATCTTTTCTATTGGAAAAACAAGAAACAGGCAGTTGTCTACTGCTCATTCAGTAGAGGCAGAGTATCGAACATTGACACTTGACAAGTGTGAGGTTATCTGGGTATGATCGATTCTTGGCAAGTTGAAATTTCCTTTGACTTCTTCATCCACATTGTATTGTGATAACCGATCTGTAGAGATTGATGTTCACTTTCTTCAGGAGAAGGTCAGTTGTGGTATTATCACCCTATCATTTGTGGGGAACAGTGATCAGGTTGTGGATGTTTTCACCAAACCTGTCACTTCATCCATTCTCCGGGACTCCTTCGTTAAAAATATAAACTCTTATAAAACATAGGAGCTAATGGAAGCAAATTGTATTCTAGACACCCTAATTTTAGACTTAGAACCACCTATTTGAGATTCTAACTTTTGACAAAAAACTTGCATCTTTGTAAGGAAGCCCAATGAAAATTTAATGGCAATGAACCTGAGAATGCACAAGGAGAAAAGAAAGAACCATTAACTTACAAAATCTTAAACATTCAAGCCAAACATAGATCTACTAATATAGTTCAATATACATGCATCCTCATTTTTTGGTATCAAAGACTAAATGCAAACAAAGAGGCATCGTTTGTAACGTCGTATAGCTTTTCGTGCTGTATATTGAGCAAAATCATATTCTGATTACTTCTAGAAACTTTGATTAATTTGGTAACTGCCCTCTCATAAGAAAGGAGGGTAGGGAACAGGTTATTTACCCAAATTAATCAAATTTTCTGAAGAATTAAGACCGCTCTATGGATAACTGCAATGTGAATTCGGTAAGTGATAATGCAGTAAGCATTGCATAAAGNGAGGGTAGGGAACAGGTTATTTACCCAAATTAATCAAATTTTCTGAAGAATTAAGAGCGCTCTATGGATAACTGCAATGTGAATTCGGTAAGTGATAATGCAGTAAGCGTTGCATGNAGGTTATTTACCCAAATTAATCAAATTTTCTGAAGAATTAAGACCGCTCTATGGATAACTGCAATGTGAATTCGGTAAGTGATAATGCAGTAAGCATTGCATAAAGAATCAATTGAATTTATACTGCACACTCAAGAAGCAAGAAAACGTGATTGATATCTACCTTTCTTATTCTTTTCAGGAGCAGGAGATGGACAACGCTCCTCTTCGCCCCAGTCATGAGCAGCTGTCCAGGAGTTTTGTACAATTACAGAGTCCTCGGTTATTTTATCACCGAGGATCCTAACATTGTAGTGCAAAATAATAGGTGGATCTGGTTCCCCTGGAAGTGGCTCCCCAGTTAAGTCAATCCGGAAATTACCAAGTAGACCACTTGGAATGCCAATAATAGTGATCGAGGAACCTTGAGTCAAGCCACAAGGTACCCCCAACTGAAAGCCATTATTATTACGCTGTGTGGCATTCATTTTACTAAGAAAATGAGGACATTGTTTTTCTTTTCCTCCCCTGTGTGAACTTTCATTCACATTAAGTCTTTCCTGTTCAACTGAAGCCATAAGATTTTTCCATGCAATGCCAGCTTCCTTAATAGCCTCTACTGCATTAGATAAAGCCTGACCATGGCTAATTAAGTGTTTCAAATGGTTCCACGTCTGCAAAGATTGTTGCTCTTTGTTCGATAGGTTCCTCCGAGCAAAGAGATCAATGACTATAGTATCAGCAGAAATCACTTGAGAACTAATTTCTGGATTCTGAACCGCGGGTGGAGCACAAGAATTTGCCCATTCAAGAGGATTTGTTGTATTTAATAACAGGGGACTTGTAAAAGAACTGTCCCTGATAGGGTTTCTAATGGCAAAATACCCCAGTACCAATAGCATAAAAAAGGATGTAGTTAAAACGCCAATGTAACATTTCTTCATGTCTTATTATCACTGATATGCATCAATACTTTCGAGCCCAATTGACATTATACCTAGAACTAGAAGGAGCGCAAAAGGTCAACAGGATGTGAATGCTTTTCTGCAAAATCAATTTTACAAAATAAGGTAAAATTGAAGATCACATAAAAAGGATAAGAGCAAACAGTTAATGTAACTAAATCAGAAATGCACCTGATCATAAATTGCAAATTTCAAAGAACATTGACTTCTCGGAAATAAAAGTATAGGGTTTTCCGATTCCAAGTCTGCTTTCTTCAGCGCCCCACAAAATCGGATTTGCAACCACAGCCTTCCATAATATACAGAGTTAATACATTCTGAAACTGAATGACAACACCAACACCACCATGGAAGCCCCTCATGAAGCATATGCAACTTCCAAATAATGTTGGAGTCTGTACTTCAAATATCAGCTTTCTAAACCACACAAGAATTTGCATGCGAAAATTTTTAAATAACTTCCAACCACATACAATTTGAAAGCAAGTAACAGACAATAACACGGAACTACAAGCACTTAAAAGGGACTATAAGAGAAAAAATTGAAATAGGAAAGAGAGATATTCTACCACTTTTGCTACCACACAACAGAAGGTCGAATGTCAAAAGGTAGTGTTATGTAGAGTACTGAATCGTAGAGATTGTTAAGGAAAAGAATGTCTATAATAAGAGGTTAACAGTATTGTTTTTTATATGTCATGAAGTGCCGAATTTTCTTCTAATATAAACTCAGACCTCCCCTGGATGGTTAATAATTATTTCAGGTTGACCCAATCAATTAGAAGGTAGAGAAAATTGTAGACCAATAGAAGAATTACTAGAAATCAAAAACAACTTAGATGGGCACAACGCCCGATCCATCACTTCTCCAAACCGGCAATGACCTGAACACTACAACTGCAAATACAAATACCTACTTTTAACATAATAAAAAAGCAAAATCAAACCCTAAGTCCTCTCAATTCACATCAAATGCACAGAATTAGCTTCCAAGCCAAGAAAATTTCACTTAATCCGCACTCAAAATATTAAAAAAATAAAATAAAATCGTCTCGAGTATAATCAATTCCAGTTCAACTTCATTCCATATCCCTGTTCCAACAATCTAACCCGTAATTACAGATGAAATGATTAAACTAGCTTCTATTATTCTATTGCAGTCTTCAATCACAGAAACATTCGTCAAATGCCTATCCACACTACATATGAATTCATGCCACTATATATATATATGCATTAGTGTGTATAAATCACAGCACTGCACAGATCAAAACGCAATAAACTGAAAATCCAGTACCTACATGAAGGAAAAAAACTAAAAAATTCCTTCAAAATAGTGAAAAATAGAGAAACAAAAGAACTTAAAAGAATCAAACTGATACTGTACATCAAAATCTTTAGGTAAAGCTTTAGAATACAAAGAACGTACCTCTCGAGTTTGTTGTTTGGACGACCGGAGTGTTGAGAGGGAGAGAGAGAGAGCAAGTGACGGTCTTTGAACGTCTGTCGTTTGGACTGGTCTTCAAGTCTCCGCTATTCACCGTTGGAAACTAGAAACCACTTTTTTGGACCAAGTTCGTTATTGAAGTGTTTGACAAGCAACGTATTTGTAATAATTCCACGAAGAAACTCCTGAAGCTATTATTTTATTTTAAAATATTTAAAATTGAATAAAAACTATTTAATCAAAAAAGCAATTGTAATCCAAGAAGTTAGTTTAGCGATAACTCGACCATTTTATAAGCGCCTTCACCCGCCTACGTTAGAGGTTTAAATATTCCATGAAACATTTATCTCTCGAGGCAGTGGCCCGATTTTGCAAAAGATCCAGAATTTGTCCATTTGAATATCTCACGAGACATTTAACTTCTTTTTTATGCGGAAAGACGGTGAGACAATTTTACACAAGGTCTAACATTAGTCTAATAAATAAATACGAAGTCACTTTATTTTTTCAATATAATTATTTTTTAGTACTATATTGATGATTAACTAAGGTAACGTTCGGTAACACGATGTTTGTGTTTTTTTTTTCATTTTTTGCTAAAAAAAAACAATAATACTTTTAAAATGTGTTTCCGCTTTTTTTTACTGTCCTGTTTTGTAAACAAGGACAAAATATGAAAACATCAAAAGAAAAAAAAAACACGCGTGCCTCAACCCCACCCTTTAATAAAGTCTTACTTTCAAATCTTGTTAACACCAAAATTTAAGACTTTTGGTTGGAAGTATAAAAACTCTTTTCTTTTCTTTTTTCGTCTCTATCTCTTTTCCTCAGTTGTCTCTCTCTCTCTTAGTGGTGGGGTTGGGGGTGGGTTTCGGTGGTGGGATTGGGTGGTCAGTAGAGTTAGGTGGTGGTTTTGGGTGATCAGTGGGATTGGGTGATGGGATTTTGGTAGTGAATTTTTGGTATAATACCAAACAAAATTTTTATTTTTGTTTTCACAAATTTTTAAATATAAATGACTACTAAACATGTTTTACATTTTTAATTTTTATCACAAAAAAAATAAAATAAAACTTAGTTCTATTTTTTTTTTATAAAAAATACGTAAAAACGAAGACGTTATAAAACACACCCTAAATTTATACTAAGCAAAGTCTAGCTGTCAGCAAGCAATTGATTTATAATAATACCCTCTATTTATTTTGTACTACTCTAAAGTAAAATGACATTAAATGGGTGAAATTCAAAGGGGCAAGAAAGGTGGCAGCTGTATAGTTCAGATAGAAGCAATGAAAAGGACGGAAATAACAAAGTTTTCGGTCTAATCATTCCATAAAGTGGGTTTGTCTCGTGTCTTATCGTATCAAATTTAAATTTGTATCATATTTTTTTTATAGTATATGTGAATCATGTATAGATAAATTCACATTGATTAATTTCTAAAGCAAATTTGATTGTTAAATCCAATTATAACCCGTTAAAACTAAAATCATATCTAATAACTTGGTGTTAACNAAATTTTAATTATTTGCATCATAAAAAACGATAAGAATAATTTTTACATAAAACTAGAGTACTATTATGTAAAAATTGGGACTGAGTCCTCTTATATGGACTTATAATGATTAGAGTCTGTCAAGAAAACTTATTTGACAAAAAAATGGACTTCATAAGTTTTCTTGACGAATTTAAGTCCAAATAAATCCATATAGGAGGACCGGTCTCCAAATTTTCCCTTTATTATACATATTCAAAAAAATATTTTGAAAGAGCCCATTCCAAATTTTCGCTTAGGGCCCCCTCAATGCTATTGAACCGACCCTAATTACTCTAAGATTATTGAGTTTGAAACGAATCAAAACCGAGCCAAGCTCGGTGGCTCCCTCTAGNCCCCCCTCCCCCAATGCTATTGAACCGACCCTAATTACTCTAAGATTGTTGAGTTTGAAACGAATCAAAACTGAGCCAAGCTCGGTGGCTCCCTCTAGGAAGATATCATTTGCTGTGGAGGAGAGAGAAATTATTATCACAAGTTTCATAACTTCAAGGAATAATTTAAATGGTAATACAGATAAAATATAAATTTATATTTTCTGAGTTCAAATATTGACAATCCCTTGAGTCAGGATATGAAGAATTTTTTTCTCATGAATACCCTAGCTCAAGAGTCGATAACCTGCTTTTTAACTAGACCGGGGAGCAGATTAATCAAAGTGTGCGTAAACTAGTCCGAATCCCTGTTGAACCAAAAAAAAAAAAGAGAAATCATCGTAGACAAGAAGGTATATGGAATTTTCTCTTTANAATAATTTTTACATAAAACTAGAGTACTATTATGTAAAAATTGGGACTGAGTCCTCTTATATGGACTTATAATGATTAGAGTTTGTCAAGAAAACTTATTTGACAAAAAAATGGACTTCATAAGTTTTCTTGACGAATTTAAGTCCAAATAAATCAANTACTCACTTTACGTAAAGTTCCCGACTTCGTCTTTGCATAGAGGTGGGTATAATAACAATTATGGATTAAAGGTGTCAATTGAGTGGAGGATTTTTAGCTTTGATAAGCTTGAGTTCAGCTTGAGATGTCCATTACTGTTTCAAGTTTGGTTCAAACTCGATTTCTAAATTTTTTATAAACTCAAATTCAGCTCAATTTCTAAAAGCATATCTTTCAATTTGATTTGGCGCTTGAGTTTGTACTTCAAGCTTAGATTTGAGTAAATTCAAAAAAACACACACAATGAGATTCAAATCATCATCATCCAACTCAAACTTATAAATCCAAGAGACACCTTAGGGTCAACTAACTTATAAATACGACCATTTTGAGCTCATTACTCTATGGCCGGCCCAAACCATAAGCAACTAAAACCCTTGTTTAGGCCACCCAAAAAAGAGGGATCATTTGTTAAATGTGGTTCAAACCCATTTAATAATAAAAAGTCCAACCTAACTCTTTATCCCCCACATGACATAAATTATATAAGAAAGTTAGATTCATTTTGAAATGTATGTGTAACTTATAAAATTTTATTGACAATATTCGTCATAGTTGTTTATGCAGAAAAAAGTTTTTCAAAATTAAAATTAATAAAATCATATTTACGATTAACTATGTCACAAGAAAGATTAAATAGATTGAGTATAATATCTATTGAAATTGATATATTAGCAAACATTGAATTTTAAAATTTTAATTATTTGCATCATAAAAAACGATAAGAATAATTTTTACATAAAACTAGAGTACTATTATGTAAAAATTGGGACTGAGTCCTCTTATATGGACTTATAATGATTAGAGTCTGTCAAGAAAACTTATTTGACAAAAAAATGGACTTCATAAGTTTTCTTGACGAATTTAAGTCCAAATAAATCAATATAGGAGGACCGGTCTCCAAATTTTCCCTTTATTATACATATTCAAAAAAATATTTTGAAAGAGCCCATTCCAAATTTTCGCTTAGGGCCCCCTCAATGCTATTGAACCGACCCTAATTACTCTAAGATTATTGAGTTTGAAACGAATCAAAACCGAGCCAAGCTCGGTGGCTCCCTCTAGGAAGATATCATTTGCTGTGGAGGAGAGAAATTATTATCACAAGTTTCATAACTTCGAGGAATAATTTAATGGTAGTACAAATAAAATATAAATTCATATTTTCTGAGTTCAAATATTGGCAATCCCTTGAGTCAGGATATGAGGAATTTTTTCCTCATGAATACCCTAGCTCAAGAGTCGATAACCTGCTTTTTAACTAGACCGGGGAGTGGATTAATCAAAGTGTGCGTAAACTAGTCCAAATCCCTGTTAAACTAAAAAAAAGAAGAGAGAAATCATCGTAGACAAGGAGGTATATGGAATTTTCTCTTGAAATTTCACAATAAACTTGTAAAATTCATTATAAATGCATGGTGATAATCAGCTTCACATAGCTTATTAAACAAAAGCTAGCAAGTTTATTCCCATGTTCATGGAGATCGATAGGAAAGTGTAGGGAAATGCTAGTATTAAAGTTCATCACGTGAGCTGGAGAATGATGGGAATTCGATCTCAGAACCACATCTTCTTCCATGTGGGAACACTGGACATTCAATGAAGTCTGTCCCAGAAGCGTTCACACAGAGGTAAACTTGGTAGAGCTGGTGGTTGCCGGAGGTGTCAACGTTACAGTCTATGTAGGGTTCATAGCCCACACTATCTTTAATGGCTTCTTTGATGCTTTCTACGCTGTAAAATTTTCCATCTGGCTTAATTCCTGTAAGGAAGTTATTATTAGGTTAGAGATTGCGGGGATTAGGCAAATAAAATTATTGTATGTAAATACGTTAATTAAGTTGAGTTTGTCGAGCTTAATCGACTATTAAGCTTAAATTCTAACTTTAGCTCGGCTCAGCCAAAACTTGGGAACATGCAAGCCCAAATCAAGCTTACGGTCTGACCTCAAAGAATTGTCAAGATTCAAACTTAGAACATGTAGGTTTACAACTCGTTCCTATTACTACTTAAATTATCTTGCAGTTAAGTTCGAAAAACTTAAATCCCTAATGTTTAATTACCAATTCCAGTCCAAGACAATCAATTTCTCTACAAAATCTCCCACAATTTGCATATTTAATCATATTATCAAAGCCCATAAAGTTAAAATTTTCAAAAATCTGTTAGAAAATAGAGGGAGAGAGAAGTACTGATTATAGTTTGGAGAAATTTTGGAATAAGTTTAAAATTATTCATTTTTAAGATAGGGGTAATTCTTTTTTAATAACAAAAATTGAATTTTTTGTAGGCATAAATTTAATCAAGTTTAGTCGAACCATGTGTTGTTTAGTTTCACCTCATTTTAGAGTAGAAATGAATATGATAAAATATCATAAATTGATAAATAAAGTAGTCAAAATGAACGAACGCATTCAATAAAAAAAAAAAAGATTTCTTCTTTCCCGATTCTTTTTTTTTCTTACGACATGATAATTAAATTTGGATTCTTAGATTTTTCGAACAAAATACCAATCTGCCTTTGAGTTTGGATTGGAATTTTGATTCAAATGAAGAATTCCATTAGGTTAATTTTGTATCATAAACGAGCCGGAACAAACTGAAACCAAATTGAGTTTGAGTATATAGATTAAAAGAATGCATTTAATAGAGAAGATCTATACCTGCAGTGTTGAGAGCTTGAATAAGGTTTGCCTTGTTCTTGAGGTCAAGAGCTGATTGGAAGTAAGAGTGTTGGTCAAGGATAGACTCGGAACAAGTCCCATGTTTCTCCCATTCGTGTTCCCAGAACTTGAAGCCATCACCGCTCGGGCAGGCCAGTGTTGGCCAGTCCTTTACTAATCTACTGCTAAGATCAGATATCTGTGTATAAACCACAATGTACAAACACATAAATTAATTAAGAAACTTATTAAATTATGAATGCAAATATTAATCTTATAAATTAATTTTGAATAACTGTCGATTATTCTTATTGAAAACTGATCAACAAGTAGAACTGATAATTGATTTGAACTACTCGAACTCGGCTCGTGTTTGCACGAGCCAAGCTGCAACAGTAAACCCGTTTAAAAACCGAGTCTAAAATACTCAACACGTTAATTTTTTAAAATAGTATAGTTATTTAGGCTCGACTCATTTTCTAAATGAACTAAACTTGAACAATTTTTTAGAATCGTTAAGAAAATTGAGCTCAATAGGCTTAGTTCGAGCGCGTAAAACTTGACTCAATTATCAGCCTTATTTACAAGGTTAATTGTCACCCCTGCCCCCCTCTAAAAAAGGTATTTCTAGGAAAATAAAGAGCAATTTTTTTTTTTGATAAAAAGATGTCATTCGTTAACTATTTTTAACAAAAAGGAAATTTTGTTAGAAAGTAAAAAAAATGTTTTTTTTTTTTTTACGATTTTGCAAGAGTGATTTGGATGGATCATAGTATATAAATGATACCATTAATATATGGTACATATGTAGAGTACTTAAAAAATTAAGTAAAAAAAACAAAACAAAAAAAAAGGAAAATACTTTGAAAAAAAATGTAGACAATAAATAAAGTTAACAAATTAAGTATAGATACCATTTTATAGCAGAATTAAAAATTATAATTTTTTAAGGTTAAGTTATAATTTTTTTAAGGTGTAAATTACAACTTTGAAGGGCATGANCCGAGTCTAAAATACTCAACACGTTAATTTTTTAAAATAGTATAGTTATTTAGGCTTGACTCATTTTCTAAATGAACTAAACTTGAACAATTTTTTAGAATCGTTAAGAACATTGAGCTCAATAGGCTTAGTTCGAGCGCGTAAAACTTGACTCAATTATCAGCCTTATTTACAAGGTTAATTGTCACCCCTGCCCCCCTCTAAAAAAGGTATTTCTAGGAAAATAAAGAGCAATTTTTTTTTTTTGATAAAAAGATGTCATTCGTTAACTATTTTTAACAAAAAGGAAATTTTGTTAGAAAGTAAAAAAAATGTTTTTTTTTTTTTTACGATTTTGCAAGAGTGATTTGGATGGATCATAGTATATAAATGATACCATTAATATATGGTGCATATGTAGAGTACTTAAAAAATTAAGTAAAAAAAACAAAACAAAAAAAAAGGAAAATTCTTTGAAAAAAAATGTAGACTATAAATAAAGTTAACAAATTAAGTATAGATACCATTTTATAGCAGAATTAAAAATTATAATTTTTTTAAGGTGTAAATTACAACTTTGAAGGGCATGATCGATCATCAAAAGTTAGGATCAATACTGAGAGTTCATGATCGATCATGACCTTTCTTTACGCAATTGTAATTTTTCTTTTCAAAATTATAATTTTATCATAAAAAATAATAAGTGACAGTAATACCCCCAAAAAAAAAATTTGGTCCCTTAGAGATTCCCCTAAACAACTATGTGAAGCATTACTTACAAGTGAAGTTGTGGAAAAAGTAAGAAAGTTGATACTCAAAGAGTCCAAAGGATTGAGAAAATGTACTTCAACACGAAAGTTCCATTTCATTGAAATTTGACTTAAAAACAAAGGCAAAACTATGTAAAATTATTTTCCAGATTACGTAGCCTTTAATGGAAAGTATTTCATTTAAAATGTGCATGCAATGAATTTTCTTAAAATGCACACTAACCCAATATTTCGTTCATGTCCACAGAGTTCGTGAATTATTTTGCATTTTTTTCGGTACAAAGTCGATCTAGTTTATCCTCAAGAGACTCATAGGGCTGACAACTTTCGGCACGACCCATTAACATTACTCGAATAAAAATGGAATTAAGTTGGTTAGATTTGTCATCAAAAAGAAAAAAGAAAAAAGAAAAAGAATAAAAATATATGAAGAGAAATTGAGAATGTTAAGTTAAGAAGTGGGAACATCTCTTTCATAAGCGATGATGACAGCTTCCTAACAAACGCTTGATCTTCGCCAAAAAGCCGAGAAAGGTATAACTTCCTAACAAACACATAGGCCACCATTAGGTAATTTTACTGGAGATTAATTGCACTAATACTCTATTAATTAATTATATAAGACTTGCCAACACCTTCTAATAAATATTTTTCCACTTCTCATTAATTGGTTACATAATATTTTGCAAGCCCCTTTTTTAACAATGCTTTAGCTATTGTCGATCTTCAAAATGTCTGTGATTGAATGTTCGCACCTGATCTATCCTCTACACTTCGCATGATTTTATGATAACAATAATAATAATAAAATAGTTTTTTTTTAATTATTGTGGACTGTTGGTAACCAATTTTATATACCCTGTGTAAATATACACTCTGTACAACTTTTTTTTTTGGGAGGGGAGGGAGAAAGGGGGTTTGAACCTTTGACCTCAAGAAGACAAAACTTTTATAGTGTAAGGCGTAGTACCATTAGATCAAATACTCATCGGTAATAATAATAAAATAACTTGGCCCAAAGGTCCGGTTATTTAGGAGTAGATTTTAGAGTTAAAATATCATCATTACAACTTAAAATATGGTGATGAATATTATAAATTCATACATACAACTCGATTTCTAAAAATAGAGTAAAAAACTATTCATACCCTACTACTCGACTTTTAAAACAAACTAAATTAAAACCACGTATGACTTTAATTATCCATAAAAAAACAAATACCATTATTGTGTACTTGGAAGCTAAATCCTTATAGCATTGTATCATCAAACCGCCAAAGTTTATGTTACATCATCTAAGTGAACTTTCATCATATTCCAGTGATCTAAACAAAGATCATGTTAAAGGGTTTAATTAGGTACCTTTGATTCATCAAAATAGTTGCCACGATCACAGTTTTGTGGGTATTTGCCATCATTGTAATTAGACCATAGACCATGAATGCTGAAATCTTCAGCAGGCTTTCCAGTCTTTGGATAGCAGCAACTTTGCCTCGTGTCGCAGTATGATCCTGGCCACTGCACCATGTATAAGACACTTCATTAACACATTCGAAAATCGAGAAACACCCGATAAGGTTTTCTAGTAATAAAAATTGTCACAAACATGTGTTTTTTGGGCTCGTGAATGGAATACAAATAACGGATGCAACATGTAATCACCCACAAATCATATGTATTGATTAAACTTGAGTTTTATGTATTTAGTAGAACTTGAACTTAAAACATGCCATTTTACATGTCAGTCTTTTGTTTGACCTCTAAACCAGTCCTGTGGGACATTACACACTAAAAAAGAAAGAAGAGTAAGGGAGGCTATTGCAAGGACAAACGAACGTGTACACTTACCATTTGAACAATGTAATAGAAATCAAAATTTTGGGAAACACACAGAACTGCAAGGCATTGTACAACCAAAAGCTTAATCAATACAGATCGGCTGAACTTCATCTCTCTCTCTCTCTCTCTCTCTAACTAACTACTTNCCTTCCCTACTATTCTTTTTCTTAACCTGAGAAATCCTTATTGACTTAAGTATCAGAGTATCTCCTACTGGTCTACCCCGATCCTTCATAGTTTGCTCATTTTAGAGGTAGAAGGTATCATTCGTTTGAGTTTTTCAACAAAACCCTACTCTCATATTCCATACTACTCTTGATCAAGGGTATGAGGTTTTATCAACTACACATACCAAAAACATATATTTTTAATCATGAATTTGGATTTGAATTAGTGTGATAATTGATCATAAAAATAATAAAATAATAATATTCTACGTCTGTTGCATTCTCAATAGCCAAAAAAGGGAGATGATATTGAAAAATAATTTTCCAGTATCATAGTTAGACCATGTAGAGATAATAGTAAATCTAGAAGTTGTTCTTTTCCGACGTATCGAAAAAAAAAATATAGAAATTGTGAAAAAAAAAAAATCAAAAGACAATATACTACACGACACTCTTGTTATTATGAGGTATAGGAAACGACAAACTTATATAATTATAAGCTACAAAAAGTCACATGTAAATTTCATTTTTCGAGTTATTAACTTTTGCTAATTTCTTTTTTTGGGTTTTTTCTTTTTNTAAATTTAATTTGCACACTCTAATGATCCATGTCTTTTGTAATATCTGTTTTTCGATTTCATAAAATCTTTACATTTCGAGGAAGCTGGATGTCTTGGCCAATAATATTCGTTATGTCTAACAAAGTCAAAGTCGTTGACTAGGGTTTAGTCCTTGCCTATGATATGAAGTTATGAACCCAAAATGTAACCCCACTTTATACTGGTAAATCAAGAAACTCTTTCGGTACGAAAGAATGTTTAAATGAGCCAACTCAAATCAGACTCTGAAAAAAAAAAGTCACTCCTACAAACTAAGGATAAGGCTATGTTTCGGTAGTATACTGAAAGTGCGTAAAATGATTGCGCATGATTATATCATTTAATAATTCTAATTAGTGTTGGCACGTGACCGTGAGAAGCATGTGACAACAAACAAGTGGTGAAAAATGCGTTGATAGACGAAGAGCCTCTGTCAAAACAGTAGTTTGGGTGACCGAGCTATAGACCGACCTATCTACCTAATAAGCTTGAACTAAGTGGAGCATCTGATGAAGTGTTTCGGTTAGTAAAGATGCCGAGCAATGCGCTGAGCCGAGTAAGGAGAATGGAAGCCATTAGGTTGATTCCACCAAAGATGAAACCGAACCAGAAATAAGTAGGCTATCCTCGAAAATCAGAGGCAATACCGATAAGAAAGTTGTCTAAGTTACAGGTGAACAGAATAAACGTAACCTAAATAATACAAACCAAAAAGGAAGCCCGAGGTGGAGCCAAAACAAATTGTAAAGGATCCAGCTAAAGTGAAGGTGTGCCTCCTTGCACCAGCAATAGTAGAACCCTAGAAGAGGGTATAGATCACTATAAATACCAGAAAAAGCTTAAGTTTAAGGGATGCGCTTCCTTCCCTACTATTCTTTTTCTTAACCTGAGAAATCCTTATTGACTTAAGTATCAGAGTATCTCCTACTGGTCTACCCCGATCCTTCATAGTTTGCTCATTTTAGAGGTAGAAGGTATCATTCGTTTGAGTTTTTCAACAAAACCCTACTCTCATATTTCATACTACTCTTGATCAAGGGTATGAGGTTTTATCAACTACACATACCAAAAACATATATTTTTAATCATGAATTTGGATTTGAATTAGTGTGATAATTGATCATAAAAATAATAAAATAATAATATTCTACGTCTGTTGCATTCTCAATAGCCAAAAAAGGGAGATGATATTGAAAAATAATTTTCCAGTATCATAGTTAGACCATGTAGAGATAATAGTAAATATAGAAGTTGTTCTTTTCCGACGTATCGAAAAAAAAAATATAGAAATTGTGAAAAAAAAAAAATCAAAAGACAATATACTACACGACACTCTTGTTATTATGAGGTATAGGAAACGACAAACTTATATAATTATAAGCTACAAAAAGTCACATGTAAATTTCATTTTTCGAGTTATTAACTTTTGCTAATTTCTTTTTTTGGGTTTTTTCTTTTTATTGTCCCTCTTCACTAGACTAGTCTCATTTTACTCTTGCTTTTTTCAAAGTCAAAAGATTCTCCCTTCTATATGGAAAGAACCTAACAAGTTTATAGACTAATGAGTAAAATAAAATGACATTATTTATTTAATAAATGGCACGATTCTATACTATTGGAAGGATGCTTCTACAATTGGTGGGTTTGAAACCAAGATCCGGCAACCCCGTGGAGCTTTGGTCTCTCTCTCTCTCTCTCTCGTAGCTTAACGTGACTGTCTCATTCTCTTATATAAAAATAGAACAAGGAAGGTAGGTGGGTTGAAATATATTATGTAGTTGTGATACATACATGAAGTATCATCTAGCTTTCTCTCCAACCTTATGGATAATATATAACAACCTTATGGATGTTTTTCAAGTTGTTATCTAGCTGAAGTTCAAGGTGTTTTGACACGCAATTTTGGACCTTTTTCAATATTTTATTGTTTATTAATGCTATTTAGACTAAATTTATATGGACTCATGAATAAAATTATATGTTATTAGTGGTAGGGATGTCAAAATATGATACGACACGAAATTAGAAGGTGCGAGATCTTCTTTAAGTCATCCGTTTTGTAAATGAATGAAGTTAACACGATGATTAATAGACGAATCGAGTATAGATAAAACCAATAAAAAAAAATATATTACCTGATTTGTTTATATATCGGTTATACATAACACAAACCGATATATACCTGATTTCTTTAAGTCATCCGTTTTGTAAATGAATGAAGTTAACACGATGATTAATAGACGAATCGAGTATAGATAAAACCAATAAAAAAAATATATTACCTGATTTGTTTATATATCGGTTATACATAACACAAACCGATATGACCCAATTCGTCAAAAATAAATTAATAAAAAAATTTGGGTCTGGATAGAATGTGTTTTTGACAAAAACACATTAAAATTCGACACTAACCTCTTTCACTCAACACGATTGACAACCTCAATAAGTAGAGTTTCGTAGTCTCCTTTTTCTCCTTTTTTATAAATGTATTATACAGGAACTTAACATGATTGTTACATGCTCTTATATATAAAAATAGAACCAGGCAGGTGGGTCATGTAATACACCGCCCAGTTAGGTTATACCATTGCTTAAAAGTCAAACTCTTTAACTATTGAGTTTTGTTTTTTTTTTTGTTTTTTTTTTATTAGAGGAAAGGGAGGGAACGATTAGTAGATAGTAACATGTGAATTGAATCTTGCTTAAGGGTCCTTGACTATAGAATGTTTGGTTTAAGCCAAAGCTACAAACCCAGAAGGATCGTCAGCACAATACCACAAAAGTTAAGCAGTAAACCGCGTTGATCCTGTAAATCAAATACTGTTTGATAACTATGACGACTCTAAATAGATACTGATGATGCACAAAAATGGTTTTGCACACCACCTGTCAAGTATAGATAATAAATGCAATGAAATCAACGAAAAAATTAGAGAAGACACAATTTATAGTGGTTCGGCCAATTCGACCTACGTCCACTCTTCAATGGCTTCAGTCGCCGGGTATTTTATTGATTCAAAGGTATGGAGAATGGAGATACAAGCTTTGAGAAGGGGAGTAGAGAATTGGAGAAAATAATAATCTCCGGTAGTCGGTTCGTCTTCTGTAAGTCTCTGATGGAGCATGTGTCTTTCTCTCTCAGATTAGAGCCATTTTATAGTAGATAAGAGATCATTCTTGTGGAGATCATAACATATCCTCAAGGCTTCTTTATCGCAGCTTAGAGATTATCTTCGGTGGAGATCACGACTTATCCTCAACGGAAGGAAGAGTTTGGGGAACTCTTGGAGGAAACGTGGTCAAAGATTGGACCGTTGATAAGCTTCTCGTGCTCTCTTCTTGGTGACGTGCTAAGCAAGAAGTCCAACCG